AGCCAAACAGGAGGGTCCCAGGCTTTAAAGAAGCACACGTGATAGGAAGAACACATAGCAGTAGCAATGCTTTTATCCATTTCCTCCCTATGTACCTAGAGGATATACAGCCAGTGTGGCATAGTGGCTTGTGTGTTGGACTATGACTCTGGAGACCAGGGTTCGATTCCCAGCTCAGCCATGAAACCCACTGGGTGAGTCACATGCTCTCAGCCTCAAGAGAAGGCAATGGCAAACCTCTTCTGAACAAATCTTGCCAGGAAAAACCAATGCCTTAGGGTTGCCATAACTCAGAAACAACTTGAAGGAATACATCACATCCACTCAAATATATCCCATACATTTTCTCAGTAATCTGTACAACCTCCAAAGGAGGCCAATGTTGTCCATATTACAAATGGGAAGCTAACATTTTGCTTTCTAAAAGCTACCTAATACATAATGGCCTGGGTGGCTATAAGCCCTTCCTTCTTTGCAGAGGGCATGTCTTCTACTGAGAAGAGCTGTCAGAGGACACTTTTCTGTTTGAAGGCATCCTTTTCTCAAAGGGTTATCTTATCCTATTCTAAAATACTGATCTGTCAGAAGTCTGATGGGGGGGGGCCTTGATGTTGTAGATAGCATCTGCTCCCCCTGACTGTGATGAGATGCATTGTGTTTTTATTAGTGAGATGTACTGATATTTTAGTTCTAAAGTTTTCATCTATGCAAACAAATCAACATATCCACATTTTATGCAGATCTGTGTCCCCTTTTTTTGAAGAGGTGTGTCTTCTTTTCTTATCAATGCTAATTTTTTTTTTTAAAAAAAGGTCACTCAGTTGATAATGGGAATAAAATTTGGATCCATGACTTTCCAGGTCACCTCTTTATCTGCTCTGTTGCACTGACTCTGCTGAAGAAGGAAAAGCATAAAATGCTGAACTGCTAAACCAAGAAATTTTGCATTAGAAATAATGTCCGTTTATAAGAAAAGCAAAGCTGTAATAGTGATCCTTTCCCTGCTCAGAAGCAGAGATGGGCAGACCCACCTATTCCAAAATGGATGGAATTTTCTGCAACAAGATATAGTCCCAGACAGCTTAGAAAGAACATGTTCTTTCTATCTATCTATCTATCTATCTATCTATCTATCTATCTATCTATCTATTTAATTTATATCCCATGTATCTGGTTATTACCAACTAATGTACAGAGCCAGTATACTTCTGAATTTCAGAAGCTGGGAGACAAAGAAGGATTGAACAATACATTTATGAGCATCTACAGGTACATGACATGGCAGTTTGAGGCCTGGGTGCTGCTAGCTGTTCAAAAGCATGCAAATGCAAGTAGATAAACAGGTACCACTTTGGTGGGGAGGTAACAGCATTCAGTGCAGTCATGCTGGCCACATGATCACAGAGTAGTCTCTGACAACGCTGGCTCTTCGGCTTAGTAACAGATGAGCACTGTCCCCTATGGTCGGACTCAACTTGACAACCTTGTCAACAAGGAACACCCTTACCTTTACCTTTTACAGGTACACAACCTGCTGCTGTTGAATATCACATACCACCACACTGTCCAGAATGCACCCAGTTTTGCACGATGATGAAAACCACACTGGCGTAGGCATGGTTAATACTTGGATGGACCACAGGACATCAGGGATTTCCACTAGGGCTAAGGAAGACTCCTGCCTGTGAATCCTGGAAGAGAGATAGCTTCCAGTCAGGAGTCTGACTAGGAAACATTCTGTGTCCCTACAATACTGACTGCAGGACTAAATGCAGCAACATCACTAGAGTTATTTGAAGAACTGTATCGCCCCATGTGAACCTGCTAGAGCCCTAAGATCTTCAGGAGAAGGCCTTCTCTCAGTCCCGCCACCATTGCAGGCTCGCCTGGTAAGGACATGAAAGAGAGCCTTCTTGGTGGCTGCTCCCACCTTTGGAACTCCCTTGCTCCAGAGGCTAGGCTGGCCCTCTCCCTTCTTGCCTTTTGAAAGCAAGCTAAGACATTTTTATTTAAGCAGGTGTTTAATATATAATCATACCAGGTTGGCTTTTATGTAGGGTGTGTGTTTTCGTTGTGTCTTTTAGTTTTTGTATATTTTCATGAGGTTTTATATTGTTTTTAGATTATTTTAACTGTTTTAAATTTTTATTGTAATGTTTTTAAAATGTCTTTTTTTTTAATCTGTGAGCCACCTTGGGTCCCTTCTGGAAGAAAGGTGGTATACAAAATAATTAAATAAATAAATAACAAAAAAAGGGTTGGCATCACCTGGTGCGGTAACCCATGGTGTCACCTCCTCCCCCATTTGCCTCCTTCCATACCACACCATGCAGAATCCTTAGAAATGTTTTTTGTACTAATGTTACTCATACATTGTAATTCACATATATTACTGAATGTATTGGTAGTAGTTGTCACATAAAACAACCAGCAAAATTAAAATTATACCTTTAAATTACAATATCATATGTGAAAATTTGGTAAAATATGATTATAAAAAAAATTAAAATAATAGACATTTTTAAATTTTAATTTGTAAACAATATTTTAATTATTTAATTAAAAAAAACTTGGGGCCTCTATATTCTCCTCCCCCCGAGCCTTTCCCCACCCACAGCCCATTTCTGCCAAAAAGCCGATGTTTGAGGAGCAGTGGTGTGACCTCCCCTTAGATTGTTACCTGCCATGGCCCCGCACACCTCTACATTCCTAGTGATGCCCCTGTTAAATGGAATGTTGGTTTCCTCTGCCAAGGTAAATCTCAACCCAGTATTAAAAACATAACTTTAGAATTAAGTTTCATTTTGCACCTGAGCAAACCTCATCTTTGAGCCTATCATCTATGTAGAAGTTTTAAATGTCAAGTAGGGGGCAAGGGAGAAAGCCAGCATGGTGTAATGGTTTGAGCATTGGACTATATGACTCTGGAGATCAGGGTTCGAATTGCTGCTTGGCCATGGAAACCCACTGGGTGACCTTGGGCAAGTCACACTCTCTCGGCCTCAGAGGAAGTCAAAGGCAAATCCCCTCTCATCAAATCTTGACAAGAAAACTCTGTGATAGGTTCACCTTGTGTGTGCACGTGTATATGTGCCTTCAAGTAGTTGCTCACGTGGCCCCATCTAATGATGGATGAGCTCCATTGTGCAGGCCATAGATGTTCTGTAGCTGTTAGCAGTTGGTTTTTTGGTTTTAACTATTGGAATTGGTTTTAACTACTATTGTAATTTTAATTCATCTAGATTTAATGCTGTTTTAAGGGGGGAGGGAATAATTTTCGGATTTTATGTATTGTATACTGTTTTACTGTTGTAAGCCGCCCTGATTGGGTTTTCCCAAAGGGCGGGATAGAAATAAATTTTATTATTATTATTATTAAGTCACTTATTGACTTATGGCGATCCCATTTATTTCATAGGGTTTTCGTAAGCAAGGACTACTCAGAAGTGGTTTTACCAGTTCCTTCAGTCTACAGGACCTGATATTTGTTGGTGGTATCCCATCCAAGTATGACTCTGTTAGCTTCCAAGATCAGACAGGCTCTGGTGCCTTTAGGGTATTTAGGCAGCTAGGATTGTGTTAGGGTCATCATAAGTCAGAAATGACTTGAAGGCACACAACAACAAAGGGGGTAGGAAAGTTTGCCTTTATATGGATTTCCACTTTAATTGTGTTTCTAACATACTGCTTGAGAGCTCTTAGCTGTAGCTAATGGCTTGAAATTCATAAGAAATAATTAAGACAGTGGATGAATGGACTGATTTTTGTTGATTGGTTGATTGATTGATTGATTTTATGGCCATGCTTGCTGGGGCTTTCTGAAAGTTGCAGTCCCAACAAGAGATTGTCAAGCTCTGGGCAGTTCACAAAAAGGTTTTTAAAAATAAGTAAAGATAAAACCACAAAAACGTATAATGTTAAAACAATGGTCATTAAAGTTAACATTATATTTTGATATATATCACATGTGTAATATATTTAACTATACGGCATTAAAAGCAGTGTAAAAGCACATAAGTAAAGAAGCACAGCATCGTTAGCTTTTTTCTTAGGAGCCAATCTCGTCTCAACAAAAGAATTTATCACATGGGAGGGAAATGCCCAAATCCTGTGGATAAACAGGATTTAAATCTGGGAATATCCAGCAAAAGCGGGATTGTTTTCAGACAACGTCAGGCTAATTGATGTGACATTAACCCATGCAGAAACTCACAAAATCGTGCCACTTTTTACTTTTGGGAAAATCCCAAACGTACAAAGTGGCACGATTTTGCCCACTTTTTACATGGGTTAATGTTGCATTAATGCTCAATTATCCTGCTCGGTCTGAAAACAATCCTGCTTTTGTGGGATATTCTTGGGATTTAAATCCCATTTGTCCATGGGATTTGGGTGCTTTGCCTCCCATGTGATATTATAAAAAGGGTTTTGCCTGCTAGAAGAA